GAGAACCAAAGTGAGACTTGAATTCATTATTATGGCGTGAAGCTTCCCGTCATATAGTGATTTTGATGATAAGAGGAATATCTGAATGATGATTATGGATCTGTCTATATGACCATCCAATTGACTTCAGTTCACATATATGTGATTGTGCTCTGAGTCGAATTCTAGGACAGATATATGGCATCCGTAGTTCTCGGGTTTCAGGTGCGAGAACATCAATCTTCGCCAGCCAGCCATGCCGTTCACTCCTCGCACACTCTCTTCCTTGCAGTCGAAGGGAACACCAAGGAAATGGTCTTTTTTGGAGTCATAAAACAAAGAATATTGCTGAACGGCGTTAATGCCGGCAACTTGTGGTTGCGAGGCGGTGATGAAACCAGCACTCCACATGTACCATCCAGTCTATGCTACGTGGGAAACATCTTCCGGGTTTGTCGGGGGAAGCCAGTCCTGCTTAAAGTCACAGTAGACATAGTGGTAGCCGGAATATGATTGTGTTGGTTGTATAATAAAATTTCAAAGCGTTGGTAGGTGAGACGGCACTTTGAATTTACGAAGGCATGCGGAAGATATTTCAAAAATCGATGGCTGTTTGGTGTGAAAACTAGTAAGCATGAATCATTACGATGGAAGCATATACTAAAGTAATTGAAATGTACCCACTAAGCTTTTAGAACAGATTTGTAATTCAGATTGACAGGAAAGATCTAAACCTAGATCCAAGATTGACAAGTGGTCATATGTTTCAAGAGATTCTGTTCGGTTATTATGCATCGATGACAAAAATTTCCAGTCTTCCTCGAAATTTATGAGTGCAGGAAAACTTCCCACCTCGCCCTTTATGTCACCTTTTGGTAATAAAATTGGCTATGCTGGAAAAAATAAAGATATAACATCAATCATGGTATGTTAGAAATAAAACCAATGTCCATCACCCTGCCAGTTGTTCAATTGTTCGAGTCACTGAAACTATCTGTTTGTCAAGTCCTGGTTAGGTATTTAAATAAATAACTGAGGGAGGCAACCAACAACCGAACAGATGGAACGAGTTTTGTTCATATCCAATTTTAGTAGAGCTAATCATGGTAGACAACGGACGAGCCGAATTTTGGAGGTTAGAAGAAGTTAAAAAGGGTGAAGTTAAAGAGCTTAGACATTTAGGTATTTGACATTAGCCTGGACACCGCCTTGAACCGTTTTGTCCAACAAACTTGGAAAAAGTGGCCCAGTCGAATATCTCCAGCTCTTCTGGACTTTTTTGCTCTCTCCGCTCACGTCTCATCAGTTTCTCATGCAATGCCATGCCGTCTGCTGTTGTCTGCCACCTAAATACCAATATGGATCTGCTCTTCTACCCTCTTAACTCTATGTTTGCACGGCAATGAGAATTGGGTGGGAAGGACATTGTCGTTAGGCCGGCATACTGATATCTATTGTATCACTTCACTTATATCAATTCTTTCATGAGTATCTTGGATAGGCAGATAATTACAATGCTGGGTTAAGTCTCAGCTTGGATAGAGGAGTCGAAAAGGTTAGAACCATCAATTTTGTCGACAGGCGTAAATACCACGAGGTTACAAGGAGCTTTGGGAGCAACACGGTGAATGATAAATCATCTCTTTCATACCAGTTATTGCAGAGAGAAATTTGGATGGAGACTGTATTCTCCTAAACACTCTCCTGGATCTAGAAAGTTGATTTCAAAAATTGAGCCCAGTTGAGCTGCGACATCATTGTTTCTACCAAATGCTTGTCCAAGTATATCCTTCATATATTCATCCCTCCTAGGCTAATAGTGTTACCTTATTGCTTTATATAAGTTCTTATGCTGATGAACATTACTTACGAATTTCCTAGGCAAAGGCAAATATCGGAAAACCGGGTGTTCATTTCGATCTCATATTTCTACATGAGAAAGACGCCTGTCTGGAATAATTTATCATTTGGGAAGACGGTAACCTGTGCTCTCTCTAAAGACAGAGTACATACATAACGTACATTTTGAAATGCAAAACTAACAAGCAAGTAACGGGATAGGAAATATTCAGCAAACGATAATAGGAAACATTCAATTCAATCTAGCCCTCAAACTTTTCCTCGTTACCCTACATAACTTCATTCCAGCAATGCCCACGACCAAGAGCTTTGTCGCAATCGCTTCCTGGGAAGTTTCTCCAGGTTGGTCCGTTTTTCTTGCAATCTGAAAACCATCCGTTATAGTCCATGCAGGTGTCACTGCGCCGGTTGCATTTTCCATGGATATTGTATTTGTTGCTGCAGTTCGGCCCTCCGTGGTTATTCATGCAGGCTTTTTTCCCGTCGCGTTTCTGAAAACGCCCATGGTCGTGATCTAGGATGACTTTGACACCGAAGTCATATACAAAGGTGTTCCCGTACCGGGCGTGCGGCTTGGGGGCGTTCTCAAGGTAAATGATACCATCTTTGATTATATTGCCTTCGACTCCGGTGACGTGTGAAGTCTTTTTTCTGCCCAGCACTGAGCAGTCTCCGTGGATTTCTTGGAGATCCAGTTCTCCTAAGTGGTTGGCTTCGTAATGCTTCCCACCGTGTGAGACAAGGGCGCCTTCAACAGGGAAATAGATTCGGAATGTCCCAGTGGGAGGATCATAGAAATAATTGCTTAGCTTTTCCCACTCCTTGGGGCTACTCCTGTAGTGCTGATTCAAGTCGCTGAGTTCATGCTCTGGCACCTTGATTTTCTTGAAGCCGATCAACTTGATAGTATTGTTCGGGAGCAGGTATTCGAGGGAGTTAACGAAGCGCTCTTCGAACAGGGTGAGATCGCGTTCGGCGAGGTGGGCTTGCGCAGGGCTCCACGATAATGCGAAAGCCGCAAGGGAGAGGACCTGAGAAAAGGGCGTCTTCATCTTCCCAAGGGATAGAAAGTTTGGCTTATATTGGAATTCAGCAGTCCGAGTTATGAAAGGAAATCAATCTCAATAATGATCCTTGGGTTTCATAAACAACTGAATGTAGTCTCCGGCGAGGTATGCCTACCTTTATATCTTTCTTCATGACCTTCCATCCTGTAAGGCGCAGCGCTATTCATCAATTCCAAAACGATCCTTTGTGTCTCGTCTGCTGGTATCATAGCCCATCTACGCAGAAAGTCAATCCACCGTTGTCGTCAATAGATTTAGTACGTATACGACGTGCACGTCGCTCCAACAAATTATACGAGGTTGTCCGAGAAAACTACAGTCTCCTGGCCCAGTCCGAGACCAAATAATAAGGAAGAGATGTACTCTGGAAACAATCGCCTGCACTCTATTGCGTTTTAGGTTTTTAGATTCTTCAACAAGGCTGCTTCACCTGGGCGACTTTGCGCAGCATTGCCCAATCCACGCAGATCACTAACACGACAAAGACCCAGCGTTAACAGTGCTGCATGACACGACGGTGTTTGAAACGACTGTTCATTTAAAAACCAGGATGGTGCTGCAAATTGCTCGCATGCTCAGGGCCAATTTCATCTGTGATAGGTTCTATCACAATCGACACTGCCTCAATAATGTTCAATCTGTGGCTATGTATGCACAGCGAGGTTTTCCATGCACATATATTACTCCCATATGGATGTTGATGTCACTGCCAATAGAGCCATCTGAGAGATTTGGAAAGGAGTGGGGAATATACGGCAATGGCTGAAATTCAGGTGCACTTGAAAGCGGGGAGGTTTACTCACCAATTTGTTGACCCAAGTCGCTAAACTAACTATCCATTTTGAAATTATTAACTAATCGTGCCCCGCGCACCCACACCTGATGTGGGTGCGCCACAGCGTAATGATAAAAACAGCGTAATGATAAAAATATCAACTTCTTCATTAATCAATCTTCAAATATTAATATATCACCATCACCATGACCAATAAGATAGATGATCTTGAAAAACGTATTCAGAGTGCCATTGAAGTTTATAATGGCAATTGAAAACAGAAAATCCTACCTCTGGTGTGCAAATTCAACATTCCTTATCACCATCTTCAAGCAAGAATCAATGGAAGAAAAACATGCAATGCAAAGACTGCACTGAACAAGAAGCTTAGCAAGAGCCAGGAGGACACATTAAAAGAGTGGATAGCTCATATGGACAGAAATAATTGCCTGCTGACCACAGAGCAGATTCAAGATAACACAAATCTCATCCTCAAATGCCATCATACTGATCCTTCAACCTCCCCACCTGTGGTCAGCAAGATGTGGACCTATCGATATATACAAAGCTTGGATGGGTATAAAAGGGTTAAGCAGAAGGCAATGGATCTGAAAAGAATTGCTGTTGAGGATATTAGCTACATCAAGGTGTGGTTTGACTGTCTGGAAATCTTACTTCAAAAGTACACATTTCAAACCTGCAATATCTACAACTTCAATGAGATTGGCTTTCAAGAGGGTCAAGGACGTGGAGAATGGGTTATTACTGCTTTTAAAGACTTTAATTCAGTTATAACTTCATCATATTCTCAAGGATTGATCACTGTGATTGAGTGTGTTTCAGCAGATGGTGAGGTATTGGATCCATTCATCATCATGAAATTCAAAACCCAACTCAAAGATTGGTATACACAAAGCAACCTACCAGGTGGATATACAATCGCGACATCAGATACTGGCTATACCAATGATGAGATTGGCTTTGCATGGATTCAGCACTTTAATGAGGCCTCTAAAAAATGTCAGCAAGGCAGTCATTGATTGCTGCTTCTTGACAATCATGGATCTCATCTCACTGAAGAATTCCTACAATACTGTGATCTCCACAAGATTATTCTATATGGATTTCCTTCACATTCAACTCATATACTGCAATCTCTAGACAGCGTGCCTTTTCAGCAGTATAAGCACTACCATTCAAAGGCAGTTAATCAAGCTGCATGATATGGATATGAGCAGTATGAAAAACATCAATTCCTACAGAATCTAGTTGATGTCCGCAAAAAGACTTTTCAACCTTCTACTATTCAGGCTGGCTTCATGGATTGTGGCATTGTCTCATTCAACCCACAATCTATACTGCTTAAGCTAGATTCAAGGGTCCCTGACTACCCTGAGTTGCAAATATATGGAGAAGACTCCTTTTCACCACAATCAAGCTGTCCAGATACTGCTTCATCACAGCTATTCTCACCCAAGACAATCAAGAAGCTACAACATCATATTCAAGTGGCAAAGAAGGCAATGCAAGATATGGAGGATATACTTGATTTCAAATCACCTCACCTGAGCAATTGATTGAACAAGATTTTCCAAGGCAGTCTTGTTCAGGCAGAACTCAATGCTATAAGAGAGAGTGAGATTGAGGGTTACTACCTTGCAATCAAACACTGCAGCACTAAAAATACACATCAGCAGGTTCAAGTAGGAGGTATACTCACTGTCAGAGATGCAAATAGAAAGATCACGCAACATAAAGAGGAGGAAGCAGAAAAAGAACATTATAAGGGAGTCAAACATGTTGAGAGAGCTTTGAAGAAAAATGCCACGGATCCAACTCAACAAGAGGTTAATGATATATATGAACGTCTCGCGAATAATACAGCTACTACAGATGATATAGATAAATTAATTATCATAGATTAGCGGTGTGGTGATGAGATATTAATTTTTGAAGTTCTAATTATCCATATTTTTATCTTTACGCTGTTTTTATCATTACGCTGTGGCGCACCCACATCAGGTGTGGGTGCGCGGAGGCACGATTAGGAACTAAATAACTCAACTAGTCATCAAAACCACTGGCATGTATTGGCGGCTAGTAGTTTTGATTCTCTCAAGCGTTTTTAATTTTGCTCACTCCTGTATAACATTATTGCTGAGAAGTTGTAAACAAGGACACAAAATCTGCATTCGATGACATGATATTTCCAGGAAGTTCTTGAACCTGGACACCTGAGAGCCAAGCCGGATTTATCAAGCTGGCACCTTAATACAAACCTTCAGGTCATGTCTGAATGTATCTGTGCCACGCTCCAATCAATTAATTCTCTTTTCGTAACTTAACTGACCGCTCGACGCATGTTACCACTCAACACATCACGATTTTTATTCTACAATGCATGTTGTACCCTAATTCCTACCCCCAAGCTTCAAACCTTATTACAATGTCAATAATGTGATTATTGAGCTTACAATAGCTGAATTCTTCTCTCAGAAAGGTGTAAATCATACTACTATTTCTAATAAATATAGATTTTACTGCATTGCTTTTATACAGCCCGTTATCAAATTAGTCTCCTTCTAAAAAGACCACAATCTCTATCTACGAAAAGAAGCTCATAGATTTTTTAAAAGAAGAGTTTTTATATATATAAATTAACTATAGTTTTTATTTTATTAATATATTTTTTAATAATTATTTTTTTTATATATAGTAATATATATTTAATTTATATTTTTAAACTTATTGTAGTTATTGATTATATACAAGTATAATAATAATAATAATAATAATAATAATAATAATAGCTATTGAAAATTAAAGATTAATGTATAAAATTAGTTACATATTTTTAATTATTCAATCAGTAGTAGTAGTAGTAGTAGTAGTAGTAGTAGTAGTAGTAGTAGTAGTAGTAGTAGTAGTAGTAATTAAATTTATATATTATTATAAAGTAAACAGATGTTAGACTATATAACATTTCTCATACAAGTTTAAATTATTATGCTTTCATAGTTATACAAAGTATATGTATAACATCGGACAAAGCTTGCCTCTCTACACTGATATCTATAACTAGAAGCCCCGTATGATACAGCCAAGCAAGTCATATAAGGGGTTACTGAATAAAGATTTATATCTCGTGAATAAGTGGCACAAGAATGTGGGGTGTCTCAAAAAGCGGTGAAATACGATTAAGTTGAAATTGATCATTTTCACCTTTGAAAATCCCTTGCACAGTCTCTGGAGGATGAGCACAGTCATTCCTCTTGACGTTTCGTTGCTTTATGTCTGGTATTGCAACAATATTGGAAAGCTAAGCCTTCTGACAATCTAAGGTGTGAGCGTTTCTTGTAAAGCGTCTACCACCATATATATTGTCAAATATGGTCAATTCCGACGAAACCATATGTTAGGTTTTTGACACTAATTCAAATCAACCATACGTAAAAAGGGACACGGGAAAGCACAACCTTAAGGTTTTTGTCAGTTTGTTATTTCTCCTCCCATTTTCTCCGTTACTGACAGTCGGGTATCTAGGAGAAATATACTCCGCTCATCCAAACCTTATAAGCTGATTGGTTAGACAGTGATCTGATAAGATCGAGATATTAAGCTTACCCGACTTAAACTTTCGTTGTCATAGTCTCTCTCTACATACAAAATCAGTGCAAAGTTCTTTTTAAGCTCTCCTTACACGTCGCTCTGGGGCCTTTTTCAATATGGTTTTAACGCAAGGCGTGTGCTCATCTGCTGATTGATGATGATAATGCGATATCATTGTCTATTCCCATTTTACCCTGTAAAATATTGGTTCAGCATGAGTGTCTGCCATGCAGACTAGCCCAAAGCCGCAATAATAAACTGAAGACACTTGAGTAGCTCATATATTGATATATCATGCAGTTCAGACATCATTTTGGCTGAGAGGGTACGAAATTAGATAAGGTGTGGCGGAACTCTTGGTGAGAAGAAACCGAGCCAATTAACCGCAGTTATGAACAAAGGAGCTGGGAGAAAGGGGAGTTCTAGGGTGGCTTATAGAGAATAGGGGCAGATTCGGCAATATGCCTAAGTAGCTAATTTTACGACTTGTCGGAATTATTTGAAGGGCGAAGGGGTTTAATCTTGTTAATTGGTAGACGAAACGAATTACCACGCTAAAAAATTAACTGGTTAAAAATGAGATCAAGGGCTGGGAGAAAGAAGAATCTGAGAAAAATGGGGAATGTTTATAACTAGTCAATTATTATTTCGAGAGAAATTGCTCTACAGCTCCAAACGGAATGGGAGGAAAATATGAATTGCAGCAGGATATATGGCACATTATTCAACCTATTTCTCCATGTGCACTGTATATTGCATTGCATTGTAAAATTCCAATGTGAGTTGGCTCGTTGGGATGCCGGGTCCTTTGGCAACTTAACAGCTCCGTGCTTCATGACTGTCATTGAGTTGCACTTGGAATAAGTTCTGAGTAAATCCGCCGACCTGCTGTAAAACTGGCCAATGAGCACTGAGGGACCACAATGACAGGGCAGCCAGGCGAAACAAGGCGAGAAACGCAGGGAACCTGAAACTCCGCAATACAGACTCGGTACTTTGAACATAACGAACAGATAGTTTACCTGACTGTGTGGGAAGCAACCCATAATAATACGCGGAGATGCGACACATACGACACTTTTTTCATTCTTTTTTTCATTAAACTAAATTGTAACTAACTATCCACCTAGTTATGCTTTCATAACGAATACTCCGCCCAGAGAGAAGCACAGCAGCACCTTGCCCAAGGTGGACATTCAGAAAATATGGATTACGGATCGGGTGGTGGAAATCCAAAGCGTAGTTAGTTAGTCACTAGCAAGGAGAAAGGTACAGTGCCTACATACATACATCCTAGGTACGGGTCGGGAGGTGGTGAAAAATGTGGAACAGACACCGTATCCATGTATCCATGTGCAGAACAGCGGTTCATTTAGAATTTTTAACAATGCGTGGCTTTTTTGGTAATGGATAAACTTATTTACAGAGTCAGCACATAACCAACCGCTGTTTGGAAAGTAGACAACCACCTGCGCAAGCGTCCTCAAAACGGTCTAGCAAGACATGGAAGAACAGCGCAAGCGTATCGGTCAAAAGTCCCGAAGCAATGCAACTGTTGACTGTGCGTATTTTTCATATAAAAGGCCTTCTTCTCCGTAGCGCGAATACATGACGAGATCCCTAATGAGTATCGAGCTCCATGGCCTTCGTACCAACCCCGGTTGCCATAAATTTCTGATATGGCCGACCATAGTATCTTCTATTTTTCCACGTTTTGCTCCTAAATTCTAGGGGAATTCGAAACCAAATATTCAACTATTAAACCCCCTCTCTCCAAATCCTGCTTTTCTTTTCTCATCTATCTTTCACCAGCTCCTTCAGTTGCCTTTCGTACTGCTCTCGACAGGCGGGTGAACCACCTGACGCCACCTGTCTCCTTGTTTACCGTTTATCGGTTGCACCTATCAGAAAGAGCTTTTATTAATGAGCTTGCGCATTTTCAATAAGACCGGGAAACTGTCGATAATCCATCCTGACATCCCCCGTTTTTTGGTTCCCTTATACATCGGGAGCATTGATCAAGAAACGCTGCTAAATGGTGTCCGGCGGAAGTACGGGTGGTTCACTGTCACCACGAGAACTGGAACGGGAATATGGTATGGATATCTCTGATTCCGACACATTGCCGGCTCACAGAGATTGTGAAAAGGGAGGGGAGAACTTGAGAACATGAACCCCCAAGGGATGACACACCCGCATAGTGGGGTAGGTGTCGAGCGTGCTGAGGATGAGTTCGCGGAGCTCAGCAAGCAGCTCTCGAGCATCTTTCATAAAAACGGACGGTACTCCCACCTGGGAAAAAAGGATGCGGGCCAGAATGATGTTGAAGTCTCTTCGGCAACAGAGGGGCAGTGGGACTTTGAAACTGCGCTTCGGGGTAACCAGGCCGCAAAAGTCAAGGCAGGAATAAGACCCAAGTGCATTGGTAGGTTTAAATTGACCCCATGTTGAAATAATTTTCTGTGGTGTAAGAATACTGATGATTTTATTAAGTCTTTTCCCGACGCTATTATAGACTCCTTCAATGTCCCGGGAACCCTCATGAGCATGTTAGGGATTGGGAAGAAGGGCAAAGAGTTTGAGATTCTAAAGAGTTTCAATGGGGTGGTCAAACCGGGCGAGATGGTGTTGGTTCTTGGCAAGCCGTCCTCGGGCTGCACGACGTTCCTCAAAGTCATCGCCAACCAGCGGTTTGGCTACACCGGTATTGATGGGGAGGCATTCTATGGACCTTTCGATGCCGAAACCTTCGCCAAACGATTTCGTGGCGAGGATGCGTATAATCAAGAAGATGACATCCAATCATCCTACTCTTACGGTTCGCCAGACCCTTGGTTTTGCATTGGACACGAAAACGTCGGGCAAGCGACCTGCTCGCATGTCAAAGGCGAAGTTCAAGGAGAAGGTATGTGCTGTACATTGATATGCTATACAGGTATGACAGTTTACACTCATGTTTGATCAGATTATTCATCTCCTATTGAAGATGTTTAATATTGAACATACCGCCAACACTATCGTCGGCAACCAGTTCGTACGAGGTGTTTCTGGCGGAGAACGGAAACGCGTTAACATCTCAGAAATGATGATTACTTCAGGAACTGTCCTAGCCTAGGATAACACCACCCGTGGCTTGGATCCATCCACAGCTCTAGATTATGCAAAATCTCTTCGAGTAATGACAGACATTTACGAGACTACGACGTTCGTATCATTATATCAAGCCTCCAAGAATATTTATAGCCAATTTAACAAGGTCATGGTTATCGATCAAGGGAATCAAGTTTTCTTTGGGCGCACGCCAGAAGCTCGTGGTTATTTCGAAGACCTAAGTTTCAAGGAGAAGCCTCGTCAGACTACCCCAGACTACTGACCTCTTCGAAAGAGAATACAAGGAAGGACTCAATGCAGAGAATGCCCCATCTACGCCACACTCTTTCGCCGAAGCTTTTGAACTGTCGTAATTTAATCAGCAACTAGAAGATGAAATGGTTGAATATCGCGCAAACCTCGAGGCTGAGAGAAACGTTTATTCTCATTGTGAAATCGCAAGTCACGAAGTAAAACGAAAGTTCACTTCAAAATCCTCCGTTTACTCGATTCCCTTTTATCTTCAGGCCTGGGCACTTATGCGCCGCCAATTCTGTATTAAGTGGCAGGACAGATTCGCATTGACTGTTTCTTGTATCACCTCTATTAGCATTGCTATCATTATAGAGATACTGCTTAGCTAAAGCTACCAAAGACCAGCGAGGGGACTTTTACTCAAAGCAGCCTGTTATTCATGTCTTTGCTCTTTAACACTTTCCAGACATTCTCAGAATTAACTTCGACCATGTTAAAACATCCAATTGTGAACAAGCATAGAGCTTTCACCTTCTACCGACCTAGTGCTTTGTGGGTTGCTCAAATTGCCGTCGATGTGGCGTTCTCGTCCGCGCAGATCCTCGTCTTCAGCATTATTTTGTACTTCATGTGCGGCTTGGGTTCTAGATGTTGGGGCCTTCTTCACTTTCGTTATTATTATCTGTGGGTATCTTTCCATGACGCTCTTTTCCAGAACCAATCGGTTGTGTATGCCCGGACTTCGAGTACGCTATGAAGGGTGTTGCAATCGGTATCACGTTGCTTGTTTTGACATATGGATACCTTATTCAGTGGCAGAGTAGTCAAGTTTGGCTTCGGTGGATATTCTACATCAATGCTCTTGGTTGGGGTTCGCAACCCTTATGGCGAACGAGTTTAGCCGCCTGACTATTAGTTACTTGTGATAGCGGGACCCTTATTCCAGGCCCGGAATTTACTGACATTGCCCACTAAGCCTGTACCCTTCCTGGCTTCGAACCGGGTTCTAGGACTATATCCAGATCAAGTTACTTGAACATTTTGCATTTAGTTATCATACCAGTCATCTCTGGAGAAATTTTGATATCATCATCGTCCTAACCGATAGCAAATACAGTCCCTACTTCCAGCTTGTGGAATATGGTCGATGATCGCCTCTCATTGACTTGAGGCCACCTTTATTAACATCACAGGTTTCTTGCTTTATAGAAGTAATCTGTGCTGATATCATGTATATTCTAGGGAAAGTGGGCTTGAGGATGGGATTTTGTTGTCACTGGGTTTCCGAACTTAACCCATGGGAGAGTATGCAATATTTGACACCACACTCGAATTGCTTTGACACTTGCTCTCGTTGCCATGGAAGAGAAAGCCAAGAAACTATGGCTAGTTAACTTGGAAGCATTTGCTTTGTGTTTTATTTTTTGATTATATTTAGAGGATCATTCGCTCGCGTATATTCCTTTGCAGCTACCTCACCACCTTCTCATAGTTGTCAATACACAGCTAGTCATTGGCCATGACCAGGATCATTATTCTAATCGCGATACATAAAAACTTAGGTCTTTAGGGTCCAAATAAGTAAAATTAATACCTATGCCTGATGCCAAGGGAACGATGACCGCAGGAACTTGAAGATGATATATCACTCAGGTACATATGGTCACCAAGGTCTGCGAGTCGACGCATTGGAATGTGCAAATATAGTTACAATAAGAAAAAGAATGTGACATATAATGGGCGGGTATCTATCGATTAACAGTTAAGGTACAGGTAAGTATACCCGTGTTGGTAATAACCAATCTATGGAAGGGAATATATTGGAAATGATGGTGGATGTGCTAATGTCTTTCACAAGAAAAACATGTATTTAAACTCAAGGAGGAAGAGAAGATAGAATAAACCAAAAAAGAGGAAATAAACTTCTGGTAAGGGAAAATTACATTGGCAAGAAAAGATAGATGAGGAGCACTTGCTACCCTCCTTCTTCTTCGACATGATGCTTCTCAACGATAGACAGAAATACCTGATCTAACGTCGTTTGACTGATAGAGTAGTACTGGAAGCCGAATTTCTGCTTGTTCCGCTCTAGAAGGGTGAAGAGGCTACCAATACCAGATGAACTATCCGCGGTAGAGCATTGCCTTGACAACTTTCCGTGACCGAAGTGATGGGAAATTCTCTCCGTATCTGGGCATATGTTTGTGGAGGATGAGGCAGGTACGCTGAATCGCATTTGGCCATGGTATGTCTTCTGTTCGATGACTGCGCCTGGGAAAGTCTCTATGACCCAAGTTCGGATCCGGTCCATTGTAGCGTCGTCCGTGCGGGGGGCATCTGCATGCACGAAGTGGACATGATACACGTTGCCATATTTGCGGCGCAGATAATCCGTGGTTCCAAGGGCAAGCATTTTCTTTGCCATGATTCCTGCTCGATTGGCAAGCGCATCGGCCTCCTCCATGGAGTGCGTTGTTAGAACGAGGGAGCGACCAGGAACTACCGACGCCAGGGTTCGCCACATGACACGTTTTGAAGCTGCATCCATGCCAGATGAAGGCTCGTCAAGTAGCAAAACTGTTGGATTTCCCATGAGTGCGATTCCAAGGGAGAGCTTGCGCTTATTTCCACCGGAGAGTTGCCCACCCATGCAGTGACTGTAGGCAGTGAGGCCAACTGCCAGGATTACTTCCTGGACGTTATGCTCAACATCTGACACGCCGCGAATCCGAGCGTAGAATCTCAAATGCTCAATGACAGTCATCTGGTCCATTGCGTCGAATTGAGGGCAGACCCCCAGGTAAGAGCGGGCGGTAGCGCGTTGTTTCAAGACGGAAACATTCTCGACAAATATTTCTCCCCCTTTTCGTGATGGCTGGATGTCTCCCCTGATAAGGCTGATTGTTGTTGATTTTCCGGCCCCATTAGGCCCAAGAAGTGCGAAAACTTGACTTCGAGAAACGCCAAATGTAACATCTTGGACAGCAACAGATTTTCCGAAACTTTTGTTAAGATGTAATACTTGAAGACCATCAGTTGCACTCGAAACCCGGGCGAGTTCCTGCTTGATATCCGCATCAGTGTCCATAATTTCTTCAGTATCTTCGGGCTTGCATTGGCCACGCAGTTTCCGAAATAGCGGTCCGCTATCACACCATAGTAGCAATCCTAATAGCGAGAATGACTGGAGAATAAGGTACAAAATAGGGCCTCCATAAAGAGTAATCTTGCCGGGGTATGAGATGACTTCTTTGTCGTCACAGAGAATCGAGAACATGTTCAGGGATGTAAACATCGATCGTTGCACGTTGCCAATGGGCGACAAGGAGGCAATCACGAAGTGGGCAATATTGACGAAGGAATCGACTCGGTTTGTCGGAGCATATGTTAACACAGACATGTACGCAATGAAGTAAATTAAAAACATGACCCTGATAATGTGTAAGTAGGGTGACCACAAAATGCTTGTTTTTGGGTGGATCTAACGACTCACGCTTGACCACCAGCCGCAAAAGCGAAAGCAGCCAGGGAAGACCTCGAAAAGGTGGATACGACGTAGGAAAATAGTATAGATGCCAATCCGTAAAGTAATAGCACTACGAATAGGTACTCAGCGTGATACCAAGCACCGGACGCTCCCACAAATACACCAATGACAACAATGCTCACTGTCAGAACGATGAGAAAATCGAATGCAGCATATGCCAGCCAGAGCGGTAGGCTTCGTACACCGTTGCTATAGTGTAGACCTCGTACATTCCTGAGTCGCTCAATTGTAGGGTAGAGAGCGAAGAATGCAGGGTAGACCGCCAAAGCTAAGCCGAAGTACGTAATCAACTGTAGCGACTTCCCCGAATCAGCTGCCCAGGGAATACTCAATGCCTGGTATTGGTTCCCGATGGTGATGTTCGTTAATATGGTGTCCATTGTGTTTTGAACGCTCGTAGCAAACGAAATGTCCCCATTCCCTCGCCAGGCAAAGGTCAGTGGGGACGAGCCATCACCTAAGAAAAATCCTCCCGGCATAACGTTATGGAAACGTCTCTCAATATAACCATTGAACTCTTGCAGTGTTTCTACCATGCGAATTTTATCCATTAACGAAGTAGAATTCATTCCTGAGGAAGCTGGCACTCCGAGAGACGATGCTAGCAACCTTAACGAAGAGAGCGATAGTTTGCTCGCTGGACCCACCACTAACTCGATATCAATATTGGAGAGCAAAGAATGAATTTTCGTCTCGCGGACTGTGTCTGGACCGGAACACCCAGGTCTCTTGAAATCCTTGAGGAACAACGTCACCAACCCTGCTGCAACCACTGGCAGCAGGAAAGCCACTAGATAGGGGAGATAGTTCCGGCGTAGAATTATTGCCCGTTTGCAAAACAGAATCCAAGCCTGGTGCCTCATTCCTATCCGTCTGCCTGGTAATAGCTGTGGCGGCGATTTTTTATCCATCTCCTCTTTGACTTCAGTAGCTTCCTCGTCATCGTCTAGAGAGATAGGTCCAGGTTGAATCTCCTCTGCGACCTTCAGGAACACGTCTTCAATTGTTGGACCGCTGACACGGTATTCCTTAATTCCCTGCTCTTCCAGTTTCATCACAAAATCCGCAGCTTGGGAAGAGTCACTTACGGTGTAGGTTGTCTCATCATAGTGCGTTTCATAAGGGATCCCCTCAAAATGAGGTAAAGTTGACTTCTCGAATCCAGGGACGTGGTAAACATGAATCCTATACCCAGAACCGAGTTGATGTTTGAGCTCGACACTAGTGCCCTCTACCTTGAGAACACCTTTTGATAGGATTGCAATATGATCAGCGAGCAGCTCAGCTTCATCCAAAAAGTGGGTGGTAAGCAGGATGGATCGGACACCACGTTCAGCTAGAAGGATGTCCCACACCTTTCTTCGGGAAATTGGGTCAAGGCCTGAAGAAACCTCGTCAACACAACAAACAGTAGATCCGCCAGTAAACATCATAGCCATCTGCAATTTCCGCTTCTGGCCACCAGACAAAGTTTTAGACCGAGAATTTATCTTTCTCTCCAAATCACATGCCTTGATAAGATCCATTATCTGCTCATTGGTATCCGTAACCCTGCCAGCCTTTAGGAGATTGAATATCCGGATGTGCTCCTTGACAGTTAGGAGATCCCACAAAACATTGCGCTGCGGACACAGGCCGAATCCACCAGCCTCACCGGAATCATTGACAGCTATTTCTCCGGAGGTAATCTTTGATAATCCAGAAATTGCTTCAAGTGTAGTGGACTTTCCGCTTCCATTGGCGCCAAGAAGGATCATGATTTCACCCTTCACAACATTTAGATTCAGATTATTAACAGCCAGAACAGTTTGCCTGCGGCTACCGAAAATGGGTGCGATGTTTCTGTAGAACCAGTTTGGTCGGTATTCTTTGGTGAAGCCGGTGATTGACACAGCCGGGAAATTATCTGCCTCCGATGTTGTGCGCTTTCTACCCTTTGAGGCTGTACCATAAAGAACACATTCCACGTAGGCTCCTAACATAGGGTAAACAATGATCTGAAGGATTAAAAGTATCCATAGGACGATGCCTGGTGTAGTCCATGGATTTTTGGGTGCCGCCTTAACCAAGTTAGTGGCCAAATCTTGCGTCTCCCACCGAGCCACTAAGATGGTGAAATAAACGTAGTTCATCGGAGGGAAGAAGAGACTAAGCATAATGACGGCGGCATTGGACCTAACAACCACCATCTGGGATATTATACCTAGTAGAAGGCATGAAATAACAGCGGCAATGCCACTGAGTTGAGACTTTTTGAAAAACGATCCACCAAAGAGAGAAAAGGAGGATAATGACAACCCTGTCAGAAAATGAAAACAGATTAGAATCCAGACTGAGGTATTAGTGAATACGCCAGTCTTCAGAATGCCAGCCATTATAATCCATCCGGGAGCATAGATGATGTCTAGGGCAAGGTGCGCTGAAATGAGTCGAGCGGCTTGTGGCTGCCAGCGAGCTTTGTTCGGCATCATACAATCAATAAGTTGGCTTATGCCCAGCTCTCGCTCAGATGCAATTAGACCTGTCAGCTGGTATGTTACGCCAACCATGCCGATAAAGATAGCGACACCGAGAATATCGACTATGGCGCCCATATAACGGATTCGAATTTGCTCTTTTCGTTCCGCATCAGTCATCGATGTATATGAGTATTCCATAACCTAGGAAATTTTGGATCAGTATAGGGATATCTGATTAGGGTTCAATACAACAAACCTTCTCTGGAAGTTGTGCCGTATTGGATGATCCAGTCACAGATGCAATCGCCCAATCAACCGCATGTTGGAAAGGTAGGATGAGAATCTGAGCATCATTCTTCGATGATGTAACGTCGATTTTGGTTCCCAGAGCCCGATCAGCCCTGATCGAATAGTTCCATATCCCTCCATAGCCTTCACGGGGAGATGAGAAGAAAACAGCAGCGACAATACACGGCGAAGTGCCGCGAAGAGTACTTCGGCAAGAGTCTTGAAGCTGTTCGGTCGATGAAAGAATGTCCACTTTCTTCCCGTTTGCTCTTGCAGGTTGTGCAACTTGTGCAATTACACGATCGATATCACCCTCGGTAAATCCATTGTTAACGAAAACGATCTTATCCCTGCCGCCTGGAGCAGAATTCAGGGAATCAACAAAAGAACGGACGGGCGTCGCATCGGCGATTCCATATTTCGAGGGGGGAATAAAAAGGTTTTTGGCGTATGATCTGCAACACACCTTCTTAGCACATTCTTCTTATTGGTACGGATGAGAGAAATGATGAAACTAACATGAACGCAATAAAAACCACGGGTAGGAGAAGAGCTCGAAGAGGGGTCGTAAACCAAGGGCGCACAATGGTAATCAACAAGTTCTTCCGGATTAGCGCCCAAACCTGTCTGAGAAATATCATGATTGTCAACTTTAGAGCAAAACCCCTCCTATTGGTTATCACTTTTTGGAGGAAAGGACAGGGAGCGGGCGCTTGGTAGATTACTGGACATATAGCCAGTACCTACCAGCTATCGGGGGCGTAGCTGGACTTGTTTGGAATTGATAGCATTGAGTAAATGAGTTTGAATATGGCCATTTATATGCTGCAGATAAGAGGAAGTAACATACAATGTCGCAAAATGAGAATCAAACCCGGGGAAGAATCGTCAGTGCCAAGTGTCTTGGTGTAAATAATGAGACCTGCATTCTTCGCCAATTTTTCATCGAGATGACAGGTTTGGAGTCGTTGGGATGAGAAATTTAATGGAAACCAGCCTTAGACAGGCATGATTAGCCACGGGATGAGATGGAAAGACATCGTCATCAATGTACTCCGTAGAGTTAGTTAGCCTTTGATCCGGATGCCTCAGCTGCAGGCCTGGTCCCTCCATGCGTCTCCAAAGACCGCAAGGAAGACTAGAACACTGTTTTAGTTATCCTAATTAGGCGTCTCTTCGTTCACTAGCAATGGGCGCAGTCAAATCCATGGATACCATCCCAGTTTTACCAACATCACCGCCAGCCTTCGTGGGTATCGGGAAGAATTCCACAGATATCCCGACATATTCTTCGGTAGGTTGTGCACAAATCCATCGATGGGCGAATAGGACACCAAAGCCCGGATTTATGCAGATGTGCATTTGCTAACCAGCTATGTTGAGACCAAGGATCGGCTGGCCCTCGTTTCGTTCTCCTGAAGGTTAAATATTTTGATTTTCCAATCTCCGGAGAGGAATTACACCAGGCGCATCCATGAGGACCGCTGCTAGAGATCTCTGAAGAAAATACTATTATGTAGATACTCTTTTCCTGTTTATCTGTTCATTGCTGCTGGAGTTTTGCAGTTGAGAGACTTATCATCTTTCACAGGCGTACGTTGGAGGTCGTCATTCGTCATTCATCATCTAAAAGGTTTGAAGCCGCAAGTATTTTACAAGTTGACGCTAGGCCAAATTTCAATTACCCCAGTGGCTTTCAATAGGGTCACGATTAATTTAGGGTGCTCTAGGCCTACAGGCACCAAAGTGTTAGGCACCATCTCACCAGACTTTAACTAACAGCCTTAACCATTAATACCCATTTGTGCCCCAAAGTTTTAATTAAGCCCAGGTAAGACACACAGCAACACTGCGGACTACTCCAGGAACCTTGTCCTGTTATCAGCTTTTATGGGACAAAATTGGACTAGCTGAAGGGACTACTAAGGACCACTTTCTGCTCCATCCGCTGTTGTCATCTTTCCATCCCAGCAAGAACGCGCGGATATTTGGTGTGTAGTGATGCGGTCCCTAGGACCCCAAGCTCCCCCAACCATTGCGAACCACGACGGTACTGATCAAGGCTGAACTACAAATGCTTCGTGATGGCATTTCCTCCCGCAATTTTTTCTGCATTAGGGTTCATATTTTGCCAACCTGAACTCCGGCGGCATTGCCCACTCGCTACGACATTATATATCCCTGTTTATGTGGCTGACCACCAACAATATATGAAGGCTCAGCCACCTACTGAAACCCGCGTCGAATTGATAATATGACGGGAGTGAATCCTCATTTGATATGCCATGATGGATTCCATCCTTAACGTGTTGCGTCATTGTTGTCAGCACTCGTGCGCGTTCTATGTGTTGTTCAACGAATCAAGCAAAGCCGTATAATATTTCACAGTGAATGTATGGGAGCTATAATTAACGAACCAATAGGGATATCAATGGCAAATGATATAAAAATGAGAACCACGGATACCACTTACGCATGTTCCCATCTATGGAAATCTTTGTGGACGTATGTTCAGTACGATCTGTGGATGCCTAAACGATTATCTCGTGGGAATGTATCTCGTCAGATTGTCCCGTGGAAGTCACAGATTCCCTCACGCCAGAGCTGGGTCCAGCAAGGGTTTCTCCTCAACAAAGAGTGAGACCTTATCTGATCATGATGGAACATCAACTAAGCTGTGGCTTCTTTAATCGAAGAAACAGAACGGTCACCCTCAATTCCTCAGTGGGAAAATGATCCATATGGTCCTATATCGATTTTGAGGAAATACATAAAGAGAACAGAACTATACTCAAGATAAATAAGAGCGGATAAGGAGAATTCTGCTTGGGTCAAAAAACAGTTGACAGTAAATGTAACTATAGATCCCAATCTTGCATTCAAATTTTAAATTATGTTTTTATAAATAAAAATTAAGATATAAAGTTAATCAAATATTATAATTATAATTAAAATATAAAATAAAAATATTTAAAATACAATATAAACTTTAATATAAATATTATATATAAAGTTTAAAAATATATATAAATAAATATATTTTAATTAATTTAATATATTATTAATTATATAATAAAAAATAAACTATATTAAAATTTTAAAAAATTATTTTTTAAAAGTAATAAATTTATTATTATTAATAATAAAATATATAATTATTAATTTTAATAAAATAATTTTTATATTAATTATATTTAAATATTAAAAAATTTTTTATAATTTAATAAAATAATAAATTTGATAAATAAAAAGATGATTAATTTTTTAAATAATTAATATAATTTATAAATAAATTATTTATAGTTATTAAATTATTTAAAATATTTATTAAATTAAAAAATTAAACTTTTAATTAAAAATTATTATTAACTATTAATATTTATAAAATTAAATAAATTTTATTTAAATATACTATTATTAAATTATTTAATATTTTTTATTCTATTTTAATTTATTAAATAAATTATTTAAATTTTTTATATAAATATTTAATTAAATTATTAAAAATAAATCTTTATAAAAAAATTTTTTAATTTAATAAATAATATTTATAAATAATAGAGATTAATTACAAGTTAAAAATTATAAAATATAATAAATATATTACTTTTTTTATATTAAATTTTTTATATAAAAAAGAAAATTTGAAGATTTATATATATTATAAAAGATTAAAAATTAGATTTTTATATAAATATAACTATAAATAAATATTATATAAAGATTTTAAAAAATCTAAAAAAGTAATTTTAATAAATAAAAAATATAATAAAAAAATATAATATAATAAATAAAAATATCTATAACTTTGATAAAATTAACTTTTAAATAAAAATTATATTAATAGTTAAAATAATAATTAAATATAAAAAATATAATAAATTATTACTTTTATAGTAAAAAAATTAAAACTAAATAAGTATTATTAATAAAATTAATATAATTAAATATTATTTATAATAATTATATTAACAACTATAAAAAATTAAATCTAATAATATATAAAACTTTTAATTAAATATGTCATAGCTTCAGCTAGACGCAGGTGAACTGATGTTTGATTGTCAACTTGATAAGCTATTTGAGTGAATACTAAGATGATTTCTAAAAGATGAGTTCAGGGAAGGCTCTGTTTATATAGCCCTTTTTCTCTAGTGCCATTGCCAGGTGATTGCCACATTTACATGTTATTTATACATGGGGTAATTGTGGGGTTGTTTGCTGTTGCCTAGGCAATTGTTGTTTACTGATCACCTCAGCCTGTATGATGACTAATCACCTTGGCCTGTGGTGATTACATTATCAAGAAGGTTGAATGTAAGCCTGTTCTCTATTATCACATTACCCCCCCTTGAAGCCTAGGCATGTTCTCATGCTGGTAGATTATCATTCATTTCATCTGCTAGATAGTCATCCTTTTCTCAAGCCTCTAGTCATTTAATTAATTGTTTCAGGGCTCTGCTTTCATTGAATTTGCAGCATAGAGTTATTGAATCATATATGATAGTCTCTTTAGATTTTATACTTAATACCATGTTAAATCTTTATCAAATTCTAGTCATTTTATTTAGTATTGAAGCTTCTCATAGGAGATACAGCTTGCTAAAATGTTCTCAACTTCTCATTTATTTTCTTCTTTTATCTTAACTAATTCCAGTATCTTATTTAGCTATCTTGATAGAGAGTCATTCACAGCTTTTCATAATTTATTAGAAGAAAATATTGAGTAGATTTTCATGCTATTTGATAGTTTTAGTCTGTAACTGTTGTCTACTCTCTTAATAATTTCAAAAAGTTTTCATTTTGCTCTGTGAGCTTTCTGCTGAGGTGTTGAATTTTATAGTTCTTTAATAACAAAAAAATCTTATTTTTTATCTCAAAGTTTGACTCATGATGATGCTTGTTGATCTGTAATTTCATAATTTTTTATATTTTTTTTTCATATTATCTGCTGCTAGCTTTCAGATTTTCTTCATTTAAATAATATGCTGTCTGATATCTTCTTATTTAAGCTTCTCTTCTTTAAATAGTATGTTAGATTGTGACTTTCAATTGAATAACATTCAAGATTTATATTTATAAGCTATTAAAAAGAATATTATTTTAATTAATTCATTCATCAGAGCTTTAGTTGTATGGTTCATCATTGATAGTTACTCATTTCAATTGTCCTGATAGTAATTTATATATGAATAAAGCTTAATTGTCAGATATTAATTTACAATCTCAGTCTGATCATCTGCTTGTATATGATGAGCTGATGAAAACTTTAGCTTAATTCTTAATCATCTGATGAACTCACTTCAGAAGTTTAAGATAAATTATAACTCACAGTCTAATATAATTAAATCTGATACTTTATAATATTCATAGTAGTACTTCAAGAATAGTCTCACTAGCTCTTTGACATCTGCCTTTCTTGTGATAGAAATAGATATAGACTTCTTATTTAGTCAACAGACAATTATCAATATTGTATCATAATTTCTTTTTATCATAGAGTTATTTATAAAGTTCATTAACATGTATTGTCAGACTCTGCTGAGAATTGATAGTGACTTCAGTAGTTCTGAAGTTTTATTCTAATAGATATTCATTTTTCAACATACTAGGTAATTGTTTATATACTAATCAACATCTT